CGAGACATCCTCAACACATCTTCATGTTATACATCCGCCTGGGCGACCTGGACACGTGAAAACAAGCGTATTTCTCTAGACATTCTCAACACATTCTCATGCTAGGCATCCGCCTGGGCAACCTGGACACGTGCAAACAAGCATCTCGATCGAGACTTCCTCAACACCTCCTCATTATAGACATCCGCCTGGGCGATGAGGACGCGTGAAACCAAGCGTCTCGCTCGAGACATCCTCAACAAATCCTGGCGCTTGACCTCTGCCTGGGCAACCTGGAGGCGTGAAACCAAGCGTATCGCTCGAGACATCCTCAAGACCTGGGCACGTGAAACCAAGCATTTCACTTGAGAGATCCTCTAAATTCTGGTTCCCAGGAGAGGACAATATATAACAAAAAAAAGCGTCTCGCTCGAGACATCCTCAACAAATTCTGAAAAACGAGCGTTTCGCTAGGGACATCCTCAATTTTTTCATTCGCCGGCCCTACGCGACCTCGTTATTTATCGCAAAAATAAATTCGCCGGCCCTACAGCCGTCAGATCCGGGGGCAAACCCCTAAAAGAGAACCCTGGGCCCGAAGCCCTTTCCGGGAAAAACATGATGGACCCACGAACCCGGAAAGGGATATAGACATGTGGAGCATGGCACGTTTTCACGATACCCAACGGGCAACACCTCACGAAACATCCCACGAGACACCTCACGAAACATCCCACGAGACACCTCACGAAACATTCCGCGAGACACCTCACGAAACATTCCACGAGACACCCCGCGAAACATTCCACGAGACACCCCACGAAACTTCCACGACGACAGGCAACCACTCAACCAAGGCGGTGTGGTCGTGCTGGGGAGTGGTCGTGCTGGGGTGTGGCCGTGCTGGGGGGTGGTCGTGCTGGGGTGTGGTCGTGCTGGGGGGGTGGTCGTGCTGGGGCGTGGTCGTGCTGGGGCGTGGTCGTGCTGGGGCGTGGTCGTGCTGGGGTGTTGTCGTGCTGTGGTGAGGTCGTGCTGGGGTGTGTCGTGCTGGGGTGTGGTCTTGCTAGGGTGGGTCGTGCTGGGGTGTGGTCGTGCTGGGGGTGGTCGTGCTGGTGTGGTCGTGCTGGGGTGTGGTCGTGCTGGGGCGTGGTCGGCTGGGCGTGGTCGTGCTGGGGTGTGGTCAGGTGGGGGGTGGTGCTGGGGTGTGGTCCGTGCTGGGGGGTGGTCGTGCTGGGGCGTGGTCGTGCTGGCGGCTGGTCGGGTGCTGGGGCTGTGGTCGTGCTGGGTGGGTCGTGCTGGGGTGTGGTCGGCTGGGGGGTGGTCGGCTGTGGGGTATTGGCTGGGGTAGGTCGTGCTGGGTCGGGTCGGCTGGGTGTGGGTCGTGCTGGGGTAGGGTCGTGCTGGGTGGGGTTCGTGCTGGGGTGTGGTCGTGCTGGGGTCTGGTCGTGCGGGGGTGTGGGCGGCTGGGGTATGGTCGTGCTAGGGTGGGTGGGGTCGGGCATTTCGCTCGAGACATCCTGCCAAAATTCCAGGAAATCGTACAAAAACAAAGGAATTAGTCGAGACATCATCGAAATTCCTTCGCGCGGGGCGCTTTTCGCGTCGCGGTCGGCTCTGCAAAACAAGCGTTTCGCTCGAGACATCCTCGGCAAACTCTGCGGAGCAAGCGTTTCGCTCGAGACATCCTCAACACACGAAAAAGTGGCCCGCACCCTGTGATTTATCGATCGGGATTTCAAAAACAAGCGTTTCGCTCGAGACATCCTCAAATTTTAATTCGCCGGCCTCCTTCGACCTCGTTATTTATCAGGGAAAAAATTCGCCGGCCTCCCTCAAGTTGGCACCGGGGGACAGGTTTACCTACTAAAAGAGAACCCTGGGCCCCCGCCCTTTCCGGGAACAAACAGGCCCCGACACTGGTTCACGGCGGCGCCCAAACCTCATGATTTTGCTTTGCATCTCCCATTATCCGAGACAGGGGGCCGGCGGCATGGAGAGAAGCCCTTACGGATAAATTCGACCAGGCGCCGACGCGCGTGCTCGATACCTGTACGACCACCCTTCGGGTGATAAGGAGGTTCGGGGGGGGGAACCAACGTCTCATTCGATCGGTCTCACTATAGATCTCACTATGGATATCACTGTCGGTCTCGCTCGATCGTTCGCACTATCGATCCCACAGTCGATGTCACTGGATCCATTTCATTCGATCGATCTCACAATCGATCTGACTATCGATCTCACAACCGATCTCACTACCGATCTCACAATCGATCTCACATTCGGTCTCACTGTCGACCTCACCATCGATACCACAATCGATCTCACAATCAACGTCATCATCATCATCATCGTCATCATCATCATCATCATTAACATCATCATCGGGTCCCCATCATCCGCATCACCTCATTGCCATCATCATCATCAACATCACCATCACCATCATCATCATCGGGGCACCATCATCGTCACCATCATCATCATCAAAAGCATCATCATCGGGACACCAGCATCATCACCATCGGAACACTACCATAAGCAGCATCACCATCTCATCATCATCATCATCACCATCATCATCATCGGGACACCATCATCATCAACATCATCATCATCGGGGCACCACCACGTTCATCAACAGCATCATCATAATCATCAACAGCATCACCATCATCATCATCATCATCGGGACACCATCATCATCGTCACCATCAGCAGCACCATCATCATCATCATCATCATCATCATCATCGGGACACCATCATCATCAACATCAGCATCATTATCATAACCATCATCGTGCCGCCATCATCAAATTCATCAGTATCACCTCATCATCAACATCATCAACATCATCGTCATCATCATCATCATCGGGGCAACATCATCGTCATAATCATCATTTACATCATCATCATCAACATCATCATCATCATGATCGGGACACCATCATCATCATCATTATGCACAGCATCATCATCAACCTCATCATCACCATCATCATCATCAACATCGTCAGCATCATCATCATCATCAACATCATCAGGATCATCAACATCATCCTCATCATCATCGGGACACCATCATCATCAACAACATCACCATCATCATCATCATCAACCTAATCGTCGTCATCGGGACACTATCATTACTACCACCATCACCATTCTCACCATCATCATCATCATCAACATCGTCAACATCATCATCATCGTCATCGTCATCATCACCATCATCAAAAGCATCGGGACACCATCATCACCATCATCAACATCATCGGCATCATCATCATCATCATCATCATCATCATCATCACCGTCATCATCGGGACACCGACGGAACACGAGGGATCGGGTAACACGGTAAATACAAGAGCAGGAAAGACAAAGATCGCAAGGGGGAGGAGGCGCAGGCGAGACGATGAGAAGGAGGAGGGCGAATCGGGGCCCGCTCGGATGCTCTTGGTTCCCATCTTGTTTATCCCAGAGCACTGGAGGAGGGAGAAGAGAAACGGGAAGAGCCAGGGAGGGTCAGGAGAAGGGAGAGGAGAGATCTGAGGGATCTGATGAGTCCAGCCGTTCATGGGCTGCTGGCACACAGGCCAAGCCACCCCCTCTACGGGAGCATCAGAGCCGAGCCATATGATGGCCCAGCGGCGAAAGCCCATGGAAGGCCTGGCCAAGCTTGGTGCTGGCATATCACTGACCACTCCCGCGAACGTGACGCGACGCCCCATGACTTCCGAACCCACCGGCCTTGAAGGCGAAATGATATCATTTTTGTTTTTGCGCAAAGGCAAGGCGCGGTGCAGCAGCAGTGGTCTGGCTGATGGGGCAACGTCGGGCCTCCCCTCCGACGAAGCGCCACACAGCATCTAAGGCAAGGAAAAACCGCATACCCCTTTGGGTGACTAGCGTACGAAATCACTTCCTCCCAAAATCCCATCGGCAAAGGACGGGCAGCTCGCCTCATGCAGTGCCCAGCTAAGTACCCTCGCCCGTTTGACAAGTGGCCCCGATTGACATATTTGCCACTGGCAACAAGGAGGGTTCCAGTCTCCCCGAGTCTGGCAACAAGGAGGGTTCCAGTCTCCTCGAGTCTGGCAACAAGGAGGGTTCCAGTCTCCGCGAGTCTGGCAATAAGGAGGGTTCCAGTCTCCCCGAGCGTTCATCTGGCAAGTGGCACAAATTGTCGAATGGGTCATCGGCGACAGCATTGACAGGACATCTCTGAGCCCAGAAAGGGGAGATCTCGGGCGACATTGGTTGAACCACCTCAGGTGTGGGCATCCCCGAAAACACACCTCCGACGATGTCCCAGGCGAAAAGGACCGGGACCACGTGAGATGAGGACATAAGTGCATGAACCCAGAGTTCAAGGAGATCTCAAGCGAAACGATCAGTCCACGGCAGCTGCAAACCCAGAACAACGAGGAAACGGGATCGGATACCGTGAGGCAAGAGCATCGACTGACCCAGAATAACGAGGATGCATCGGGCGAATATGGCTGGACGACCTCAGGCCAGGTCATATCCGAGCCCAGAGTTGTGACGAAGTGTGAAGCGAAACTGGCTGGACCAGCTCAGGTCAGGGCATCCATGGGCCCTGAGTTGCGAGTGTGTGTGGGGGGGAAGCTGGATGGTCCTATCGCGTGCCTCGAAGCCTACAACTGCGAGGATGTCTCAAGCCAAAAGAGCAGGACCACCTCAGGACAGCGACGAGGATGTCTAAGCGGAATGGGCTGGACTATCTCTCGCGCGGCATCTCGAAGCCCGGAGGGCGTATACACCGATCCTGGGCCCAGGGTGATCCTGGCCAGGATCGGTGTTGGTGTATAGTTGGTGCCCTCCGACCGACAACAAACGAATCAAACATACGTCGCTCAATTGGGGTCGGCGGCAGAGGCGGCAGCCTTTAGATAACGTATTTGACGGCGGCAGCTATGACTGGATGGCAAAAACAACGGCCTTCTCGAGTGCAACTCAAGCATTGCGCTATGGTCGACCTTTTTGTGGGATCTAGCCCTCGCCAAATAGATGGTTGCGCAAGAACCCTGAACAAATGTACCTCCCTGGGCAAAGGTCAACTGTGATCAGCATGGGATGCCGCACTGTGAGCAAGCGCCGAGGCGTTGCATAATCTTGGCCACCCAAGCATTTCGCGATGAGCTTAAATGACTTCCCGCTTGGATGCGTGTGAGCAGATCGGCTGTATGGATCAACCTAGGGCTCCCAACTTCGCGCTTCGCGCTGCGCGAAGCGCGAATAACTTCGCGCTCTCGCGCCGCCCTCCCAAAAGGAGAATAGGAGGACGAGGAGGAGGGGGAGAAGGAACGAGGACCGCGAAGCGCGAAGCGCGAATAACTTCGCGCCCTCGAGGGAGCCCTTGATCAACCGAGAATTCCACCGATGCTTCGCGTTCTCTCGAGAAGACGGTCGGCAAATGGCACCCCGTCTGCTACGCAGTAGTACGTTCCCCAAGAGTGTGCCGAGCGGCCGGAAGCCATAACGCCTATCCGCATCAATGACAAGATCCATGCCGACCATTAGCTTGTATTCCCGAGCGTCCCCTACCAATCGATCACCATCATCATGATGATCCTCATCATCAGCATCAGCATCATCATCAGCATCAGCATCATCAACTTCATCATCATCATCAGCATCATCAACCTCATCAATATCATCAGCATCATCACGTCCTCTAAATCACTTGTTCAGATTTGAACCGCCACCATCGTATGTACACCAGAATCATCATCGTCACGTGAGCGCCCTCACTCGTTTACTAACTTGCGCTGCTGTTGGGGCCCTCTGGGAACCCTCCTTGGCCGCACGGGCTCTCGTGGGAGTGCTCTTGGAGGCATGTTGGATCGTCTTGGAGGCCTCGTTTGGCTGTGGGGAGGCTATCTTGGGCGTGTTGAGCGCCTCTGCTAGCGATTAGGTGTGTTCTTGGAGTGTGTCGGAGTCCCTGGGGGCTGTCGGTCCGTCTGGGGGCCGTCTGGGACGCCGCAGGGGCGCCTCGGGGGCCGTCTCGGGGCACCCAGGGGCTGCATTGGTACCTTCTGGGGGCGTCCGAGGCGGTCCCAAGGCGACCCTGGGTGTCTTCTGGGTCGTCTGAGAGCGTGGGGCCACCAGAAAAGTCGATATCTGAACTTCTGCAAACATGATGGACCCACGAACCCGGAAAGGGATATAGACATGTGGAGCATGGACACGTTTTCATGATACCCAACTGGGCAACACCTCACGAAACATCCCACGAGACACCTCACGAAACAGCCCACGAGACACCTCACGAAACATTCCACGAGACACCTCACGAAACATTTCACGAGACACCCCGCGAAACATTCCACGAGACACCCCACGAAACATTCCACGACGACAGGCAACCACTCAACCAAGGCGGTGTGGTCGTGCTGGGGAGTGGTCGTGCTGGGGTGTGGTCGTGCTGGGGGGTGGTCGTGCTGGGGGGTGGTCGTGCTGGGGGGGTGGTCGTGCTGGGGGGTGGACGTGCTGGGGCGTGGTCGTGCTGGGGCGTGGTCGTGCTGGGGCGTGGTCGTGCTGGGGCGTGGTCGTGCTGGGGCGTGGTCGTGCTGGGGTGTGGTCGTGCTGTGGTAAGGTCGTGCTGGGGTGCGGTCGTGCTGGGGTGTGGTCTTGCTGGGGTGGGGTCGTGCTGGGGTGTGATCGTGCTGGGGTGGGGTCGTGCTGGGGTGTGGTCGTGCTGGGGGGTGGTCGTGCTGGGGGTGGTCGTGCTGGGGCGTGGTCGTGCTGGGGGGGTCGTGCTGGGTGTGGTCGTGCCGGGGAGTGGTCGTGCTGGGGTGTGGTCGTGCTGGGGGGTGGGTGTGGGGCGTGGTCGTGCTGGGGGGGTGGTCGTGCTGGGGGGTGGTTGTGCTGGGGCGTGGTCGTGCTGGGGCGTGGTCGTGCTGGGGCGTGGTCGTGCTGGGGTGTGGTCGTGCTGTGGTGAGGGGCGTGGTCGTGCTGGGGCGTGTCGTGCTGGGGTGTGGTCGTGCTGTGGTGGGTCGTGCTGGGGTGTGGTCGTGCTGGGGTGTGGTCTTGCTGGGTGAGAGTAGGTCGTGCTGGTCGGGTCGTGCTGGGGTGTGGTCGTGCTGGGGTATGGTCGTGCTGGGGTGGGGTCGTGCTGGGGTGGGGTCGTGCTGGGGTCTGGTCGTGCTGGGGTGTGGTCGTGCTGGGGTATGGTCGTGCTAGGGTGGGGTCGTGCATTTCGCTCGAGACATCCTGCCAAAATTCCAGGAAATCGTACAAAAACAAAGGAATTAGTCGAGACATCATCGAAATTCCTTCGCGCGGGGCGCTTTTCCGCGTCGCGGTCGGCTCTGCAAAACAAGCGTTTCGCTCGAGACATCCTCGGCAAACTCTGCGGAGCAAGCGTTTCGCTCGAGACATCCTCAACGCACGAAAAAGTGGCCCGCACCCTGTGATTTATCGATCGGGATTTCAAAAACAAGCGTTTCGCTCGAGACATCCTCAAATTTTAATTCGCCGGCCTCCTTCGACCTCGTTATTTATCAGGGAAAAAATTCGCCGGCCTCCCTCAAGTTGGCACCGGGGGACAGGTTTACCTACTAAAAGAGAACCCTGGGCCGATGCCCTTTCCGGGAAAAACATGATCGACCCACGAACCCGGAAAGGAATATAGAAATGTAAGGCATTGCAACATTTCAAAGACACCTGATTGGGCGACGGGCACATGCAATGCTGAATGTATCGATGATGATGTACTGTGCCGAGGGCTGTGCTGTGCTACGCCGTGCTGAACTGCGATGTGCCATGCCGCGATTGTGCTCTATATAGCGTTGCGGATCGAGTCCTCCCTGGCATCCGAGTCCTCACCGAACTGATCTGGAGCGTGAGCTCGAGCTGCCTGAGCAGATGGTAGCTGCCCCAGAACTAATCGACAGAGGGAACATGCCAAGAGGACGCGCCGCGGAACGTCCCAAGGGACGCGCCAGGCGACGTGCCAGTGGACGTGCCATGGGGACGCACCGCGGGACGTGCCAAGGGGACGCGCTACGGAACGTGCCAATGGACGTGCCGAGGGACGTGCCAGGGGACGCGCCGCGCGACGTGCCAGGTGGACTCGCCACGGAACGCGCCAAGGAACGTGCCAAGGTGCATAGTTGAGTGTATCGATCTTGATGTACCGTGCCGACGGCTGTGCTGTGCTGGGCCGTGCTGAACTGCGATGTGCCATGCCGCGATTGTGATCTATATAGCGTTGTGGATCGAGTCCTCCCTGGCATCCGAGTCCTCACCGAACTGATCTGGAGCGTAAGCTCGAGCTGCCTGAGCAGATGGTAGCTGCCCCAGAACTAGTCGACAGAGGGAACATGCCAAGAGGACGCGCCGCGGAACGTCCCAAGGGACGCGCCAGGCGACGTGCCAGGGGACGTGCCATGGGCACGCACCGCGGGACGTGCCAAGGGGACGCGCTACGGAACGTGCCAATGGACGTGCACCGCGCGACGTGCCAGGGGGACTCGCCACGGGACGCTCCGCGGAACGTGCCAGGCAACATGCCATGCTGCAATGCTAAGGGTTTCGATATTGATGTACCGTGCCGAGGGCTGTGTTGTGCCTGGGCGACCTGGACACGTGAAAACACGCGTTTCGCTCAAGACGTTGTCAGCACATCCTCAAGCTATCCGCCTGGGCGACCTGGACACGTGAAAACAAGCCTCTGGTTCGAGACATCCTCAACAAATCCTCATGCTAGACATCTGTCTGGGCCACTTGGAGGCGTGAAACCAAGCGTCTCGCTCGAGACATTTTCAAGACTTGGGCAAGGGAAAACAAGCAATCCACTTGAGAGATCCTCAGAATTCAGGTCCCCAGGAGAGGACCATCTATAACACAAAACAAGCGTTTCGCTCGAGACATCCTCAACAAATTCTGAAAACCAAGCGTTTCGCTCGAGACATCCTCAATGTTTAATTCGCCGGCCCTACGCGACCTCGTTATTTATCGCAGAAGAAATTCGCCGGCCCTGCAGCCGTCAAAACCGGGGGGAAACCAACTAAAAGAGAACCCTGGGCTCAGGCCCTTTCCAGGAAAAAAAAGGAATCCATGCTTTTTGGTTATTGGGGCTCTTGTGGGTATGTTCTTGGGGGCATCTTGGGGCGTCTTGGAGGCCTGTTGTGCCGACAGGAGGCCATATGGTACTTGTTGAGCGCCCCTGTCAGCGATTCGCTGCGTTCTTCGTTTGTCTCTGGGGTCTCTGGGGGCTCTTTTGGCCGCGGGCGGCGACAACTCTACCGAGGATGGCGGCTGCGACGAGAGCCGAAACGACGATGGCGGCGGCGGCGGCGAACTCGAGGACGAAGTGAAGGGACAAAGGAAGCAGAAGGGGACGGGATGTGAGTCGGGAGAGAGCGCTTTCAAGGCCGACGAATACTAGCAGCCAGGACTGGAGTCCAGACGGGGAAGTGAAACCAACTGTCGGATCGCAGCAGAGAGGCCGAGGAGGTGCCAGCAGGCAGGACGCCACTATTTCTTTGATCGCGGCAAAAAACAAACCAGCAGACAGCACGCCAGTGCGCCCTACCCATGGGCAGCGGCGAGCCGCGCCAGGGCCGCCAGTTGCGGCTCGGCGGCCGATAACCTGATGAAGCTCGGCGGCGAGCCGACTTCTGGGAAGGCCTCCTCCTCCTCGGGAGCGGCCAAGAGGGGGGGGTCCAAGAGGGGGGGGTGCAAATCATGACAGGCGGCACGTGCGCGGCCCAGCGGGGGGGCCAGGAACGTAATGAAATAAGAAGAGGCGCCATGACACCTGGAGAAATATCATGGCCCACGCCATGATATCCACCCCCCCTAGTCATCCCTCCCTCTTTTCCGCCCCCGATCTCCATCTCACTTCCCCGCCTCGCTCGCCGCCGAGGACGGCCGCCGCGGCGCTTGGGCCCCAGCTGCAAAGCAGGGGAGCCTCGGGGCTGGCGGACGCTGCCGCCCGCCCGCAGCTCCTCGGCGAGACGCGGCAGCGGGCCCCTGGCCATCGCTCGGACGTCCATTCCCTGTGTTTTTTTGTTGGTTTCGTGCTTGGCTTTTTCGCCAAATGATCCAGCATGCTCCTCGATGGTCCTCGCCGAAGGAGAAATGCACATGTCCGAGCGATGCCAGGGCCCAAGGGCCCTCTTCGGCGACGCGGAGCGGGTCCCAACCCGCGCCGCTGATCTCGGCGATGCCAGGGAGGACGGCGCAGCGCGGAGCACGAAGCTGTGCGCCTCTGCCCTCTGACCTGGCGAAGAATGGCCACGTGTCTGCGGCCGCCCGCCTGCTTGCCATCCACTTACCAGCCTCGAACGTATCCCTATCCCTAAGATTGGCAAACCCAAAGGCGATGACAATCTTAGGGATTCGCCCTCAACATGATGGACCCACGAACCCGGAAAGGGATATAGACATGTGGAGCATGGGCACGTTTTCACGATACCCAACGGGGCAACACCTCACGAAACATCCCACGAGACACCTCACGAAACATCCCACGAGACACCTCACGAAACATTCCGCGAGACACCTCACGAAACATTCCAGGAGACACCCCGCGAAACATTCCACGAGACACCCCACGAAACATTCCACGACGACAGGCAACCACTCAACCAAGGCGGTGTGGTCGTGCTGGGGAGTGGTCGTGCTGGGGTGTGGTCGTGCTGGGGGGTGGTCGTGCTGGGGGGTGGTCGTGCTGGGGGGGTGGTCGTGCTGGGGGGTGGTTGTGCTGGGGCGTGGTCGTGCTGGGGCGTGGTCGTGCTGGGGCGTGGTCGTGCTGGGGTGGGGTCGTGCTGGGGTGTGGTCGTGCTGGGGTGTGGTCGTGCTGGGGTGGGGTCGTGCTTGGGTGGGGTCGTGCTGGGGTGGGGTCGTGCTGGGTGTGGTCGTGCTGGGGAGTGGTCGTGCTGGGGTGTGGTCGTGCTGGGGGGTGGTCGTGCTGGGGGGTGGTCGTGCTGGGGGGGTGGTCGTGCTGGGGGGGGGTGGGTGCTGGGGTTGGGTCTTGCTGGGTGTGTCGTGCAGTGTGTCGTGCTGGGGCGTGGTCGTGCAGGGGTGGGGTCGTGCTGGGTGGGTCGTGCTGGGTGGTGCTGTGGTGGTTGGTCCCGCACCCTGTGATACATCGATCGTGTCCCGTGCTGGGGTGTGGTCGTGTTGGGGTGTGGTCTTGCTGGGGTGGGGTCGTGCTGGGGTGGCGTCGTGCTGGGGTGTGGTCGTGCTGGGGTGTGGTCGTGCTGGGGTGGGGTCGTGCTGGGGCGTGGTCGTGCTGGGGTGTGGTCGTGCTGGGGTGTGGTCGTGCTGGGATGTGGTCGTGCTGAAGTGGCCCGCACCCTGTGATTTATCGATCGGAATTTCAAAAAAAAAAAAAAAACTCCGATCGACCCACGAACCCGGAAAGGAATATAGAAATGTAAGGCATTGCAACATTTCAAAGACACCTGATTGGGCGACGGGCACATGCAATGCTGAATGTATCGATGATGTTGTACTGTGCCGAGGGCTGTGCTGTGCTACGCCGTGCTGAACTGCGATGTGCCATGCCGCGATTGTGCTCTATATAGCGTTGTGGATCGAGTCCTCCCTTGCATCCGAGTCCTCACCGAACTGATCTGGATCGTAAGCTCCAGCGGCCCTGTCAGATTGGTCGCTTGCCCCAGAACTACATCGACAGAGGGAACATGCCAGATGACGCCCGCGGAACGTCCCAAGGGACGCGCCAGGCGACGTGCCAGGGACGTGCCATGGGGACGCACCGCGGGACGTGCCCAGGGGACGCGCTACGGAACGTGCCAATGGACGTGCCGCGCGACTTGCCAGGGGACGCGCCGCGCGACGTGCCAGGTGGACTCGCCACGGAACGCGCCAAGGTGCATAGTTGAGTGTATCGATATTGATGTACCGTGCCGACGGCTGTGCTGTGCTGGGCCGTGCTGAACTGCGATGTGCCATGCCGCAATTGTGCTCCATATAGCCTTGTAAATCGAGTCCTCCCTGGCATCCGAGTCCTCACTGAACTGATCGGGATCGTAAGCTCGAGCTGCCTGAGCAGATGGTAGCTGCCCCAGAACTACACAGAGGGAACATGCCAGGAGGACGCGCCGCGGAACGTCCCAAGGGACGCGCCAGGCGACGTGCCAGGGGACGTGCCAGGGACTTGCCACGCCATGGGACGCACCGGCGGGCCCTGCCAGGGAGCGGCGCTACGAATACGAGCCAAATGACCGTGCACCGCGCGACGTGGCCATGGGGACTCGCCACTGGACGCACCCGCGGAACGTGCCAGTCACATGCCAATAAACAAAACAAAAAAACAAAAAAAAGAAAAAGGGGGTCTTCCGATATTTGATGTACCGTGCCGTAAGGGCTGAGATGTGCCAATGGCGACCATTGACACCGTGAAAACAACGCGTTTCGCTCAAGACGTTGTCAGCACATCCTCATGTTAGACATCCGCCTGGGCGACCTGGACACGTGCAAACAAGCGACTTGATCGAGACTTCCTCAACACATACTCATGCTAGGCATCCGCCTGGGCGACCTGGACACGTGAAAACAAGCCTCTGGTTCGAGACATCCTCAACAAATCCTCATGCTAGACATCTGTCTGGGCCACCAGGAGGCGTGAAACCAAGCGTCTCGCTCGAGACATCCTCAAGACCTGGGCACGTGAAAACAAGCAATCCACTTGAGAGATCCTCAGAAGTCATGTCGCCAGGAACATGATCGACCCACGAACCCGGAAAGGAATATAGAAATGTAAGGCATGGCAACGTTTGAAAGACACCTGATTGGGCGACGGGCAAATGCAATGCTTAATGTATCGATTTTGATGTACCGTGCCGAGAGCTGTACTGTGCTGCGCTGTGCTGAACTGCGATGTGCCATGCCGCGAGTGTGCTCTATGGCGTTGTGGATCGAGTCCTCCTTTGCATCCGAATCCTGACCGAACTGATCTGGATCTTAAGCTCGAGCTGCCTCAGCACATAGTAGCTGCCTCGGAGCTAACTGACAGGGGAACATGCCAGGAGGACGCGCCGCGGAACGTCCCAAGGGACGCGCCAGGCGACGTGCCAAGGGACGTGCCACGAAGACGCACCGCGGGACGTGCCGAGGGGACGCGCTACGGAACGTGCCAATGGACGTGCCAGTGGACGTGCCAGGAGACGCGCCGCGCGACGTGCCAGGGGGACTCGCCACGGGACGCGCCACGGAACGTGCCGAAGTTGCAATGCTGAGTGTATCGATCTTGATGTACCGTGCCGTGGGCTGTGCTGTGCTGCGCTGTGCTGAACTGCGACGTGCCATGCCGCGAGTGTGCTCTATAGCGTTGTGGATCGAGTCCTCCTTTGCACACGAGTCCTGACCGAACCGACCTAGATCTTAAGCTCGAGCGGCCTCAGCACATAGTAGCTGCCCCAGAGCTAATGGACAGGGGGACATGCCAGGAGGACGCGCCGCGGAACGTCCCAAGGGACGCGCCAGGCGACGTGCCAGGGGACGTGCCATGGGGACGCACCGCGGGACGTGCCAAGGGGACGCGCTACGGAACGTGCCAATGGACGTGCACCGCGCGACGTGCCAGGGGGACTCGCCACGGGACGCTCCGCGGAACGTGCCGCAACATGCCAGGCTGCAATGCTAAGGGTATCGATATTGATGTACCGTGCCGAGGGCTGTGCTGTGCCTGGGCGACCTGGACACGTGAAAACACGCGTTTCGCTCAAGACGTTCTCAGCACATCCTCATGCTAGACTAGGCGAAGGATAATTATACACGACGTCGTTGGGGTCCTCCCCCCCAGATCAGCAGAGGCCGTGCGCGGAAGGGCCCCCTCTAACCCAAACCAGACAATGACGAAGAGCGCAGGACAAAAGAGGGGCAAGTCGAAACCAGGGACCAGCATCCGCTGGGCAGAGACTAGCCGAAAGGCAGCGGAGGCCAAACCTCAGAAGGGAGCTCAACGCACGTGAAACATATAAAAGGACGCCAAGAAAAACGCAGCAGAATAACTACCACTCCTCAGGTGAGGGCGGTCGATATTTCGCGCGGTTTTTCACACCAGAATGCCCCCCCCCGCGGGGCTTCCGGAAGGCCCCAGGAGAGCCCTCGGGAGGGCGTCGGAAGCGAGCCGCACACCAAGACGGCCCGAGCCAGTCGCAGCGCTCGGCGCCGCGACCGACCAGGGCCACCTATGTCCGCGGCTCGCGCCCTGCGAGGCCCCCATCACGGAAGCCTAGCGGGCGGGTCGGGCGGGCGGGCGGGCAGATCGGGCGGGCCATTAACGTGGCGCAGGAACAACCGAGCGATGGTCATGGAGAGGAGGGGGGCCGGTCTTAGGGCCTCCTGGGAGCTTCGTGGGGGCCTCTTGGAGGCCTATTGGGAGTTTCGTTGGGCCTCTTGGGGGCCTTTGGGGGTTTCTTGGGAGCCTCTTTGGCAGTATTACGGCGTTCCTGGCCCGTCTGACGCCGCCGGAAACCGTTTTGGGGGCCTCGCTGTGCCGTCCTGGGCCTTCTTAGGGGCTTCAGGGCCGTCTTGGAGTCACATTGGGCGTCTTGGAGGCCTAGTGGGCCGTATTGGAGCCCTTTCGGGGCTGTCTTAGGGGCCTCTTGGGCCGTCATGGGGCCAGATTGGAAGCGTATTGGGCGCTCTTGGGGCGATATTTGGGGCCTCTTGGGTTGGCTTGGGCCGTCGGAGAGACGAAAATACGCAAATGCCAAATTCCTTCCTCGTCCTCCCCCGCCCGCCCGCCCCCCCAGACTCCAGCTCCTGATCTAAGTTTTGGTCCTGCGCCTCGCCCAGCACCTACACCCCAGATGAAAGGCGCCAGCCTGGATGGGGCGACGGGGAAAGCGTAGCCGACCAGCTAACACGTGGAATCACAACCAATGCGATGTGTGACGACTCCAAGCAATGAGAGTGGCAACGATACCATTTTCTGCACGGTCACCCCTGTCCGCGCAAATCCCCCGGGCGCCCCGAAACGGCGAGAGCTCGAACGCAGGCTGCGCCGAACCCCCCAACTCGACTAAACTTGCAACGAGCTTTTACTCCTCATCCTCCTCCTCCCCCTCATGCTCCTCCCCCTCCTGCTCCCCATCCTCCCCCTCCCCCTCCTGCTCCTCCTCCCCATCCTGCTCCTCCGCCCTCATCCTCCTCCTCCTCCTCCTCCTTCTCCTCCTCCTCCTCCCCCCTCCTCCTCCTCCCTCCCCTCCCGCTCCCCCTCCTCCTCCCCCTCCTCCTCCTCCCCCCCTCCTCCTCCTCCTCCTCCTCCTCCTCCCCCTCCCCCTCCTCCCCCTCCTCATCGCCGTCGCGCCTGCGGCCACG